GGGCCCTGCAGGGCCCGTGTGGCTACGCAGTATGCCACTCTCTCTCTCTCTCTCTCTCTCTCTCTCTCTGAGAGCAGCGGCGGGCGCCACGTCAAAACGGCGGCTTTGAAATTGCTCAGGCCTGTGTGAAACCCGCCACCCGAAAAGCCTTTAGTGTCTTGTGTCCAGACCTCTAGGCCCTGTCCGATGGGGTGAAATGACATTGAAAAATCACACCATTATTTTTTGAGGGGCGGCCAGGACCCGATAAACGTCCTGGGCCGCCCCTTTTTTGTTTTTGATTTTTGCCCCGGGGGCCTCCATCCGGACATCAGGACCAGACACCGGACACCAGACTGTCTGGAACCCGATCCGGACGTCCGGACGGTTACCATGATTATTTTACATATGTATTATTATGTTACATAACAATGATCACATATATCTTTTTGATTTTTTATCAGATTTTTCAGACTCCTCCTAGTCCCCCTTCCTTTCGACGTCGTGTTGATGCTAATTTGCGGGGTTCTTTGTCTTACCGACAATCTGCTCTGCCACGTCGGCGGCATTCGGCATTTACGCGCCGACCCCGCCAGATCGCAGCTGGCTTTCCAGTGGTGACCGATTCGGATCTGCAGGCAGAGCTACCCTGCTGAATGCTGTGCTGGCGCAGCTCTCCTTGGGTATCCTTGTGAACATCCACGCCACCCTCAGCGTGCCTGTCCTATCTGCCGGGGTGGGGGGTCCTCTTCCTAACTGGTCTCAATAGAATCAAGCAGGTCGGGACTCGGGAGCAACACTGATTATAGGACATATAAAGCTTTCGATACTTGGAAAAATTGAAAAAAAACGAAAAAAAGAAAAAAATTCAGAAAAAAACTGTGTACAGATCCGGGCCGCCCGGCCGACCAGCGCCTGCCCGGGGGAGGTCCCGGGTGGCCTGGCCGGGCGGGTGGCCCGGTTGGGGGCCGGGCCCCCCCAGCACACCTTGCTGGTGGGGGGTTTCCGACACCGAATCGGCCAGATTATGTCTCCCCATGGCCTACCGGGTCCAACCACGCCCAGAAAACGGCGCGTCGGGCCCGTGAGGCCTTTTTTTTTTTTTTTGAATTTGTGACGGCCCTCCGGCCGTCGATCATCCATGATCGACGGCCAGAGGGCCGTTTGTTTTTTGGAGGGAAAACCCAGGCCCCGTTTTAACAACGACTGGCTTGGGCGGCCTGCATTGGCTGTCGAAACGGGGCCTCCCTCCAGCCGCCTGCGCTCGTCCTCAACTCGCCCTCGCTCTTCGCGCTGCCCATTGTCGCCATCGCCTGGGAGCTGCGCTCGCCCGTCGTCGTGGAGTCGCCCGTCTCCCGTCGCCCGTCGCCAGCGTCGTGGAGTTGGCCGTCGCTCGTCCCCCTTTTATCTTCTTCTTCTTCTTCTTCTTCTTCCTCTTCTTCTTCTCTCCTCCTCCTCCTCTTCCGACTATCTTTTTTTTCTTGTTTTTTTTTGTTTCCATTCGTCAGCGATAGGTCGCGAGATAAACGACAGGTAAGGAAAAAAAAAAAAAAACTGCTCCGCTTGTCATCTTCTTCTTCTGCTTCGTCTTCTCTCCTCCTCCGCCTCCCCCTCACTCCTCCTCCTCCTCTTCCGCCCATCTTCTTCTTCTTCTTCTTCTTCTTCTTCTTCTTCTTCTTCTTCTTCTTCTTCTTCTTCTTGTAGGACCGCCGCTGCAGCCCGCTGCCATACCGCACCACCATACCCTACCGCCCTGCCGCTGCCGCCATCTTTTTCTTCTTCTTCTTTTTCTTCTTCTTCTTCTTCTTCTTCTTCTTCTTCTTCTTCTCTCCTCCTCCGCCTCCCCCTCATCTTCTTCTCCTTCCTCTTCTCTCCTCGTCC